ATCTGTCTGTTCTTTTCTTAGATATATCCTCACCAAAAAAAAAATTAAATAAATAAAGGCAGATTAATGCCATTGGGAGAGACAGCCCAAAGGAGTTTATTTCCCCTTAAACCTCATTTGCCACTGAGCAAATGAATCAATTTTTTGTGTCAAAGATGGGAAATGGCTTTGTCATGTGCTTGCCTTCCTTTTGTTCAAAGTTAAACAGAACAACAATCCAACTCCATAGCCTGGCCTGCCCCTCCGGTCTTCAACTGTTCACCGTGCAAACGGCACGACAGCACAATCCACATCACCATTAGTGCCTCCACTTTTCACACTAAAGCTAAAAGGCTTAAATCGGTCCTATTTCCATAAATTCTATGTTGCCATTTCTCTATTTAAGAAACAAACATTTAAAAAAAAAAAAAAAAACATGGAAAGTAACTGTTGGAGGGGGCATGGAGAACTCGGAACCCTTGTGCACTGCTGGCAAGAATGTAAATTAGTGCAGCCACTGAGGAAAACAATTTGGTGGGACCTCAGAGAGTTAAACCTTATGACCCAGCAATTCACTCCTAGGAATGTACCCAAAAGTTTTAAATGATATCTGTACACCAGTCTTCACAGCAGCATTAGTCACAACAGCCAAAAAGGTTGCAAACAACACAAATGTCCATAGAGAGATGAAGGGAAAAACAAAACGTGGAATATTATTCAGCCACAAAAGGAAAGACGTTCTAACACATATTACCACACAGATGACCTTTGCAGACATTATGCTCAGTGAAACAAGCCAGACAAAAAAGGACAAATATCGTCTGATTCCACTTACAGGAAGTATTTAGAACAGGGAAACTCACTCAGACAGAAATTAGAATAGAGATTATCAGGGGCTAAAACAAAAAACTAAAACCAAACTCATGCCAGAGTCAACTCTGACTCATAGCGACCCTCACTGGATTTCCGAGGCAGTAAATATTTACAGGATTGCTCCATTTTCCTTCTGCAGAGTGGCTGCTGGGTTTGAACCACCAACCTTCTGGTTAGCAGTGAAATGCCTCGAGGCAGCGTAACACCAGCGCTCCTATCAGGGGCTAGGCAGAGAATATTCTGACATTATTCAGAGATTCTCACTGGCCAATTTTTTTTCTTCCGGTTGTTGTATACGGGGTCACTATGAGTCGGAACAGACTCAACAGCATCTAACAACAACAGGGGCAAGGTGTAACAAGGTGTAGTTTATTGGGTATAGTTTCTCTTTGGGATAAAAAAGATCCCGAAACAGGAGTGACGACTACACAACACTGTGAATGTACACTTTATTGTACACTCAAAAATGGCTAACATGGTAAACTGTTATGTATGTTTTACCACAGTAACAAACAAAAAGAAAAAAACCTGTAACCTATCTGACCTGCTCTCCTGGAGGTGAATTTAGCCTCCTTTGTAGCAAATCCTAAAATGATCTCATACAGTCACATGTCACTGCTTACTGAGCAAACAACACTCCACATTCCAAAGAGATTAAATTCCCAACCCATTTATACTCTACTGTACGCACCACTCCAAGGAACTCTTCATCAGCCACTATACAGGCCCAAGTCTCATTATAAAATATGCATGTTTCTTACCACTTTCAGGACTAAGCCTGGAATCCTTACCTAGATAAAGATCAGCAGAACGCCCAAGTGTCCTGTGGCCATCCTCTGGTTCTCCCTGCAGAGAATCAATGAAATCCTGAGGGAGGTTTTTCCTTAAAGACATTAGGATACAAGTCACAGTAAGCACTATTAAAAATCCTAAATGGGAAAAAGATCTTACTCAGTGACTAGTGAAATGAACAGAAAGCTCTTGACCTACCCTTATTTCTCATGCACTCTAAGGGCTTGTTGCTCACCAGATGATGATATTCGGTGGACGCCTCAGCACCTGCAACAGAGCCCTTCCTGAAATAAGACTTCGATTTCTAGAGTTCAGTGTGGTAGGCACCGTGCTAGGCGGCTAAAACAGCAAAAATCCAAAGCAGCTGCTGCCTAGTGGTTCCAACCTGTGTGTAGCAGAGCAGAACTGGGCTCCGCATTTTCAGCGGCTGAGCTCTTTCAGAAGCAGACTGCCAGGCCTTCCTTTCCAGGGGCCTCTGGGTAGATTTGAACTGCCAACCTTTTGATTTGGTAGTAGCCAAACACGGAATCCTTTGCACTACTTAGGAGCCTAGGCAGCTAAAATTTATCTCATTTAATCAACTGACAAAGGGCTTAACTCTCAGGGTTGTAAGGCTATGCTCAGAGTTGCTCCTCAAATAATTGTCCATTATTTTGAAAATCATTGAAGGACTAGGGCTCAGGTATTGATAGTTTTTTTAGCTCTCCAAGGAATTCTAATACAAAACCACCATGCAGAATTAATCTCAGACATATTTAACAGTAGCAGCAGCAGTACCCTAAATCAAAAACAACCCTCCATAGCACGGCTGGTCCTAAGTCAACGTGGCCCCACAAGGACCTTGTAAATAAGCCTCCCTCAAATGTTGGAATTCCACTCTCCCCTGACCGCATGCTGTCACCATCGCCCACATAATTGCACATGTGGACCCAAGTCTCTGGTGTCTACCCCAAACCATGCTTACATCTTTCCATTTCCCATTCAACCTCTTTAGGTAGAATGCAACCTGGTATCAGATTAAAATAATTCCCATAAAAACACAATCCAAAATATACTAAGCCAGGAAGTTGACACTCTGTCAGAAAAGTTGCTAATACTTTTGTCTTGGCTGCAGTTTGTGTGAAAAGGCATGCCTGAGAATACAAAGGTTCTTAATCTCCCCATATGCAACTTGCTTACCTAGGTATTTGCCACTTTTAGGATATAAACACATAATTAATCCACCCACAGCCTTGGAGTCCATTCCAACTCACAGTAACCCTGGAGGACAAAGTAGAACTGCCCTGAAATCTTTCTCCTGCAGAACAGCTGGTGGATCTGAACCGCCAACCTTTTGGTTAACAGCTAAATGTTTTAACCACTACACCACAGGGTATTAATAAGAGCCTGGTTTAGTTCGAACAGTCACCCACTAATCCAATCACGTGAACCTCTTCTCCCTAAATACAGAAATCACTTTTAGTATTTTCTGTAATTTACTTATCATCAAGGTGTTTTTAAAAAGTGCTCCATGAATTTCACCACAGAACGTCATTAGTAGCTATTCATGTGAAACAGAGCAATCAAGAACATAAGAGAACTCAGGGGAATCTTCAGTGGGCACATATCAATCCAAATCTCAGTGAGCACACAAGACTACGAAATCAGTGCTTCTGGTTTATGAGATCTCACTTAAAAGGTTTTCTACTACAAAAGAATTTAGTTTCTCTTCCCCAACAAAGCAAAAGCTCAGACCCCAATATTAGTTGGTAACTTCCTCTAGCTTACGCATTATGATTTAAAACAAGGACCAGATTCAAGACCCCTTGCACAATAAATAGGTTTCTGCTATGGGGACAATTAGTTCAATCCTAACATTAATTTTTAGACCACCACAAAATCCCACTATTTACAAGCACCTAGAAGTCAAGAGAAACATACCCGATCTTTGTCCTAAGTTCTTGAGGATTTCATAATACAATTTTAAAAGAGCTAAAAATCTACTGTATTCCTGCTTAAGCTAGCGATGGAGGTTAAAAAAAAATCAATAAAAATAATTGAGTGTAATTGCCCATTTATGGATAGTAAAAAGGGACTGACCTTAAAAGGCCACTTTAGTTAAGTAGTAGATGTGGGAGTTGAGAATCACTCTTGAGACTATTATTAGACAACGGGCTTCAGGAGCCCAATCCAAGGTCCGGTTTTGTCACCATCTAGCTGTGACAAATAACCTTTATGCATCACAGCTTCTTCATGTATAAAATGAGGGTTACAACTACATCATCTCTTTCTACAGGAGCTCTCGTGGCATAGCGCCTAAGGCATGTGACTACTAACCAGAAGGCTGGCAGTTCAAACCCACCAGCCACTCCTTGGAAGGAAGACTGGGCGATCTACTTCTGTAGAAATAGATTCCACCATGGAAACCCAAGGAGGGGTCGTTATTGAGTTGGAACCAACTCGACAGCAGCGAGTTTCAGGTTTCCCAGATGGTTCCTCTACAGAAGTACATTGCCCAATTTTTCTTCCAGAGTGGCTGGTGGGTTTGAACAGCCAGCCTTCTGGTTAGCAGTCATAAGGGGATTGCCGAGTCAGAACTGACTCAATGGCAGTTGTTTTTTTTTTATCTCTTTCTAGCTGGGTATTGGTTCCATAGCTGTGATCTTTCCACATACATCTGAACTTAAAAACTGCAGCACCCTGAAATATTTAAGGCCTTAAGAATGGATGTAGGTAGGTGAACATATTTTCCATCCTTCGACATCCTCAAATAAGGAACTCCAAACCAAACCCATTGCCAAGTCGATTACGACTCAGAGTGACCCTATAGGACAGAGTAGAACTGCCCCATAGGGTTTCCAAAGAAACAGAATGTCACATCTTTCTTCCATAGAACAGCTGGTAGGTTCAAATTGGTGACCTTTTGGTTTGCAAGAGTACTTTACCACTGCACTACCAGATCCCCTCCAAATAAGGAACAAAGATTGTTTCTTTCAGGTCAGGGATATTTACTCTTCGAAATGTAGACTACAATGGTTAAGCAATTCGTCAGCAGAGTAGGCAAAACTCCAAACCCTTCCCCACCTGCAAGTGCTGCATCATTGGGCCTCAGAAAAGGTTACAGAAAACACTTGGGAGTAAACCCACATTATAATTCTATTGTTTTTGTTGGTAAAGTTACATATGTGGAACTGGATGTACCTAAGGTCTGCTGCTAGTCATTCATGCAACTTTGCTACTATTTTGCATCAGACTGTCAGAAAGGCAAAGCAGCTTGATTTCTTCCTTAAAATACTACTTCTAGTACATTTATTCATAGCATGTGTTTGCTAAACTTCAACTTTCTATTTAACATTCTTCAGAATAAAGAAAACAGCTCATTTTAAACAAGAAGTTTATTTAAACAACAAGACGCTTGACTTGAAGGGAAAACTATCTAGGATTCATTTCTTTTAGAGTAATTTACCCCTACGTAAAGACAGATTGCCCTACATGTAACAGCTACGTACAAAAAAGTTATAAAATTGTCCTTGGTTTTACAATGATAAATGAAAAACATTAAAATTTTCCAATCGAACAAGGTATGCAAGGATTTTTTTTTTTTTTTTATGTCGTTGTTTTCATTAAACAATGAAAGCAAAATAACTTACTGGAATAGAAAGGTAAGAGCTGAGTGAGCATGCCACTGATGGAGAAAGGGGGGGGTTTCACAGAACCAGTATTTGTCCCCATCCCATCTCCACTCGATGTCAATCAAAACATACCATTGGCCATTTAGTTAAAAAAAAAAAAAAAAAATGCAATATGCTTGTGCACATGCACCAGTTACTTTATGTACAATAAAGGAATGGGGGAGGGAAAATGAAAGAATAGAGAAAACTATACTGTAGTAGTCAGGATGCGGTAGAACCGAATTGTGGTTTTCTAATTAAGAATGTATTCTTGGTCTGTAGGAACAGAGTTCTGGAGTAAAGTAGCAGGCTCCCTTTTCAGAAGACACCGCCTGTCTGCTGCTGGAACACATCAATTGTATCTTCATCCTCCATTTCCAACTAGCACAAAAGAGAAAAAAGAAATTCAGATCTTCTAATTGGTAATTTTCAGATCTATGTATCCTGGAAAAAAAAATGCCCAAGTTTCACCCAAATGCATAATCTGAGACATCTCACGGTTTAAGACCAGGTTAATATACGTTTTCACTTAGCCTCCTATTTTTAAAGAAGGACACAGAAACCTAAGTTAAAAAGTAAACATATCCATGGATTAAATCACCTCAACTTTAGCTTAATTGCTAAAAATAGAAGGATGATGTGTGTAAAGCATCTACTTCACTGAAATGCTTCTTAGATTACTAAGGGATTAGGAATAACCTAAAGATCAATAGAAATAATCCATGGCACAGCCCTCCGTGAAATACCACGCAGCTATTAAAGATTTACATGTGCGGAAACAGAAACATCCCTAAAATACAGTGATAGCCTCAAAGAAAATTAAAAAACTAAGTTGCAAACCAGCTTATAGGATGACTCCATCTGTGCTTACGGTGTAGAGACAGGAAATGAGCAGACCCCTGCCCATGTGCACAGCAGTTAGCTCTAGGCAGTAAGGGCGGGGCTACAGGTGAGAAGGACTTGTGAACTGCTTACCATGCTTTATTCTTAAAAAGTAAAATTTTATTTTCTAAAATGTAAATGTGGCTCAAAAATCAAGTTTACAAGCTTCATTATACATAACACAGCTATTTTGATAGTTAGTAGGTTTTGCCATATATGGCAACACTACAAACTGAATGAGCATTGTAACCATTTATCATGCTGATAATTAAACCTGAAAATGTCTTTCTGAAAACTGGTTAATTTTCAAGGTAAAACAGCAACCATGGGCACCTAAAGACAAGAAAGAGGGAACAGTGTTTCCAACAAAGTTAAAATACACTAGAACAGGACTGGCACACTAAACCAGTCATGACTAAGTCTCTGAAGCCTTAATATTCTCTTTTGTAAAACAAAGTTATGAGAAATGGGTTGGGGAAGTATTTAGCAGAATGCTGGGCACAAGCTAATTATACTACTATTCAAACGGGCTACTGAGATGTTCTCATTTATCACAACTCAACTATTTAATAAATGCTTGAAGAAAAATTCTGAAAGGCATCAATTCCAGTTATTCCATGTAGGGTGCTTTCTTTGAAGATTTTATAGTGCCTTGACATCACGGTTCTGACAAATCTTCCTCGTAGCTCCGTATTTGTAGCTAAGATAGTATGCAAACCCCAGAAAACATTTTTCAGTGGGGATAAGCTAGGTTAAATATGGAAATTCTAATCATCTGAGAGTTATGAATTTAATTAATTTACTAATGAATTATTTTAGTATTTTTTACTTCTAAAACTACCAGAACAGGTCATCACATGTATTAAGATAAAGTTAACCCAAATATTGAATTTTATACTAAAATTTCTTATATGGCTTCCAAGGATGAAAGAGTATTTTCTCCTCTTTTATCAAGAGAATTCAGCTCCTCCTTGTGGCTCTATGTAATAACTGCTTCTTAGAGACGTGTAATAACCAATGGAAATTTCCTGACAACATTCTTCTTTCAAGCACAACTCACAGGTATTTGAAATTGTTGAAGATTATCAAGGAAACAGTCTGAACGCGCTGCTTATCACACCCTATTTTAATCAGGTGATAAAAACTGAAATTCAAAGTTAAAGGGCTCCAATTTAAATTTCTGTAGTCAAAGCTTTTTTCCCAGCCTGGAATCTTAGCCCTCCCAGTCAACCTAAGCTCTCCTGAGACTTGCAGGTCAAGCCGCTAGTTCTCTTTGTTGCACAAGGATTCAGCACAAGGGGCTGAAATGGTTAGGACTAACACCAGTTAAATACCTGTGGAGAAAACCTGGGTCTGGCCACAGCTACAACAACAAAAAGAAAACTACCTTCTGAAGAAAACAGGGGTTTTAAATAGTTACTCCAAATGCTGCCGCTGAAAGGGAAAAGATGACTCATTAAAGTAACTAAATGACCTATTTGCTTTCCTAAGTAATAAATGTATTTTCCTGTCTGTTCCCCCTTAGCCATATTTCACAAAGCTTTGAACGCCAATAAAGAACTGTATTTCAACCTCTTAGAGTTCACAAATTCTTAAATGAAGCTGTTTAAAAAAAACCAAAAAACCTACAAATGTGGATTTTTCTACTTAATATAGAGTTTTACCTGTGCAGGTGTGTCTGTTTCATTGATTGGCTGCCCGTCAAATCGGAATCTGATCTGCCTCATCGACAAACCCTAAATGACAGTTTTAAAAAAGGAGTAAGAAACAATAAACTACTAAGAAACTCATATAGAAAAGAACTGTTTACATTAGTCATGAACTATTAAAAAACCATGCCTAAATAAACCACCACCAATGTTAACATTTCTATGTAGGTAAAAATATTTGAGGTGATTGTGACTTCCTTTAAACTACAGTATTTTATTTGCTCTTTTGTGAAAAATTTATTCCTTCAAATGTCTTTTAAAAAGAGCCTTACACTTTCGAGACGCTCACTACTCCAAGCTTCAACAGCTGAACCCTCAAGACAAACACCACTGCATTTCCATGAGCTAGAAAGACATGGTGACCCTGCTGGTGTCTGAAATACTGGGTAAGCACCAGCGGCAAAGCTTCCAGCAACACGTAAGTCAGCACCACAGGACAAACTGACAGACGAGTGGCAGCTATTAGTTAAGTGCAAACCATCTGCTCCACCCAGGGACCTCAGTAACCAGCACAGAGTGACCTCATCAACGCCAGCTCCACACCAGTAAGTCACTCTGAGCTCAGCAGATTCCTGGTCAGCCCTATACCCACCAAAACTTATTTGTATTGAAGGCAAAGTGGTCATCCCTATTTTCATTTTGTACATTGAAATCTTTGATACACTTGAAGGTTATCCTGGTGACTGGCACGAGCTATGGGCCCAGCTCTCCTTTTTCCAGTTCTTCAAAATGCCACTTGCTGTCCAGTCAATCAGGCTCCTGACGACCCCGTGTGTTTCAGAGTAGAGCGATGCTCCATAGGATTTTCACGGGCTGCCATCTTTCAGAGGTAGCTCACAGGCCTTTCTTCCAAGGCACCTCTGGGTAGATTTGAACTGACAACCTTTTGGTTAGCAGCCAAGCGCTTAACTGTTTGCCATCCAGGAACTCTGCTCTCCAAATACTCTTTATTAAATTATCTCTTGAAATTAGTCCAAGGGACTAGTGGACCATGGGAACCGCAGCCTACATGACCCTGAGACCAGAAGAACTTTATGGTGCCTGCACTCAGTGAGGGATCATAATAGGAGATCCTGGATAGAGTGGAAGAAAAATGTGGAACAAAACTCAAAATCATAAAAAAGACCACAGGCTCACTGGTCTGACAAGACTGGTAAAACCACTGAGACTATGGTCTCAGTCACCCTTCAGGCCTGGAATTGAACTTACCACCATAGCTTCATTTCCAGCCAAACAATAAAAGGACCCAATACCCTTCAGGTACTCTCCTTAAAACAATCAACCATGGGAGAATGGAAAAGCAATGTTGCACAGGGAATAGCTCAGAGGACAGGAATACATAGGAAAGAAGGACACAAGGAAAAGATAACCACAGGGTGGAAGCAGGAAGAGAGCTGTTACATTGTGGGGATTTAAATCAATGTCATGAAACATACTGATATGATAGAGCCTGGTGACATGCCAAAGACTATGGCCCCTAGTTACCATTCAGGTCTGGAACTGAACTCACTCCTATGGCTTCCAGCCAAATGATAAAAAGGCATACAGGATGAACATTTACATCAGGCAGATACGCTCCTTAGAACGATCAATCATGGGAGAACAGAAGGGCAGTATTTGCACAGTGAGATAGCTCAAGGGGCAGGAATGCATAGGAAAGAAGGACATAGGGAAAAGGTGACTGCAGGGAGCAAGTGGGAAAAGAGCTGTTACACTGTGGGGAATTGTGGTCAATGTCATGAAACATGTATGAACTGCTGCATGGAAAATCGATTTGCTCTGTAAACTTTCACACAAATCACAATAAAAATTTAAAAAGAAATTCATCCTTAATAATGAAAACTAGACGTTACCTAAAAAGGTGTAAAGATTAAAATAAAACTCTCCTCCATTGACTTCATTTCCATCCAAGCAGTCCCTGCCACTATCCAAGAATAAGCACTGCCCACACCCGACACAATACTAGGCACACCATGGGACTGCTAGGCACACCATGGACTGCTAGGCACACCATGGACTGCTAGGCACACCATGGGACTGCAAGTCCTTTCTGCCAGTCTACCAGGACACAAGACAGTAACTGTCCTAGACCCTCCAGAAGACCACACCCGTTAAGTTCCTAGAGTAGCTCAAAAGCCCCTGCTTTTCTCGCTCCTTCTTAGTACTTACCAACATCTCTTATTTATTTGCCAACTTTCCACTAGAAACTAAGCTTCAGGAGGGAAAGGGACTTTGATCATCTCACCTACACAGTATCCCTTGCACACAGGAGGTGCTAAGTACTAAGGAACAGCATAGATATCTAAACCCGCTTCAGTTTTTTTTTCACTTAAAAGTCAGAAACAACAAAATGAATATAAAGTTAAAAGTCAGAAATAAATCTAAAGCTAAGAAGTTGGGGAGAAGCTTTATTACCCCCCCAAAAAAACCTGATAATTATATTTACTAGAGTTCCTCACTGTCATGGAGTCGGGTCTGACTCATAGAGACCCCCTCCTTGGGTTTCTGAGGCAGTATCACTACACAAGTAGATTGCCCAACCTTCTTTCTGAGGAGTGGCCGGTGGGTTTGAACCATCAGCCTTCTGGTTAGCAGTCAAATGCCTTATGCACTACAGCCCAACAAATTTTTATATTCATTTAAGGAGCAGATCAATGAATTCAAGCATGCATGCCTCTGCTGCAAAAAATTATTCTAGGCATTCTGCTTATCAGCACTGAGAGGGAGAAGAGTGGGTTGGTAACTCCAGCCAAATGAACACAGACAGGAAAGTAAAGCACTTTTGGGGGTATGTTGTGAACTCCTGTACCATGCTCTAATTACAAACTATAATTGTTAGACTCCCAGCTTCAACTGATTATTTTAAGAGCAAATTAAACTGACTTCTTAGGACTAAAAATTGAAACGAAGGGTTCAACAAGCATATTGATAATACCTTTATTCCCTTATTTAATAAGGACTCACTCAATCCATCTTTAAAACTTTCTGTGACATGAAGACTATATTCTTTCCTTTAAAATTCTAGTCTATTAACTGTTTCACATATACCACCTTCAGACTAGTCCCTGCCTTAAGAAAATAAGCCATCCTCCACTGGTAGACATCTGTAACACTCAAATTCACTGCTGGGACATTCAAACTTAATTTGCAATTATATAAAGCACCCAAGAAGTCAATGCCAAGCCATTAATTACTAAGTATTATGTATTTGTGAACTTTCCATTAAAGGCTCCCTGCTTCAACAAAACCTTTTATATGCTGGGTTCTTCCTGCACTACATCCACTGGTAAAGTCAACAGCACTGCTGTTCATAAGACAATGAGAGGCAGAGCCAGGAGAAGGACGAGAACACGCACAAACTGTATTCCTTTAGCGTCATTTCTACTTCGGAGCCTCATAAAAATGTGCAACACATCAGAATGATTAAAAGAGATATAGTGAGACTTTTGAAAGCCCTGACAGAATAAAATATGCCCCAATTAAATTATTACACAATTACAGTTTCCTGTAACTGAGTTTTCTCAGATAATACAACTGTTTTCTTATGCTTTTACCATAAAAGCTCTTTAAACTGAAGCCTAACTCATGGGTTGGCTAGAGCTGCAAAGTCTAAAATCCAGGAAACAGGTCTTCACAAATGATGTAAATTCAAGCCACGCATTTACCTTTACCCAGTATTCAAGCTCCTCTTGTTGAAATTCTATTCCTGGGCTCTGCCATGCCTGTTTATTTCACAAAACTGAGCTGGACTAAATCAGTGATCTATACTCCCTAAAGGAACTCTGGTGGCATACTGTCTAAGGCATTTCACTGCCAACCTGAAGGTTGGTGGTTCAAACCCAACAGCCACTCTGTGAAAGCAAGACTGGGCAATCTACTTCCATACAGATTTACCACCTTGGAAACTCAAAGGGGGTCACCATGAGTCAGAATTAACTTGATAGCACTGAGTATGGGTTTTCTGTATACTCTCTGAAACCACCTGAAATAATGAGGGTGAACGCACACTGGAATGGGACAGTATGCTCTCAAACTGTTGCTGGGGCTATGCGGCTGGCATAGAGCACATGTACGTGAAAAACCTACCCACCAACCAACCTCTGGAGATAGTCGTCTGAATGTTCTTGATTATTTGACAAGTACTCACTGAGCACACTGCATATGCCGATTAACAAAGAACAAAGTCTCTGTACTCTCCACTGAGATTACATTTTAGTAGAGTCAGACAAAAATAGGTAGTGAGAAATGCAGAAAACAAACAAAAAGTAAAAGGATAGAGTGCGCTGGAACATGAGCAGTTGACTGGACAAGGGAAGTCTGAGAAGACTGCAAGGTAGTAATTAAACAAGACCAGAATAAAATGGCTGTGGCTACGTGACTGTTAAGCTCAGCACTGTCCAACAGAAATATAAGGGATCACATAGCTGATTTTAAATGTTCTAGTATCCACATTAAAAAGGTACAATTTTAACATTTTAACCCAATATACTCAAAACACTACTATTTCAGTGTGTAATCAACATAAAAAGATTATTATTTTTAAAATACTGAGTTGTTAAAAAATCTGATGTGTATTTCACACTTATGGCACATCTTAGGGGCTCAGTAGCTGCCTGTCGCTGGTGGCTACTATAAGGACAGCACAGGGTTAAGAACAGAATTTGCAGACGGATTTGATGAGTTATGAGAGCATCACGAATGATGACTAAGCTTTTGACCGACCTCAGCACCTAGATGTAGAATGGTCCCACTGACCAATAGGGACACCAGAGTTGAAGCAGATGTATAATAATAGAGGTAAAAATCAAGAGTCCTCTTCTGTATCTTTCATTTGAGTGCCTATTAGATACCCACCGGAACCTCTCCAAAGAGATAATGCCAAGTGAGTTCATTACAAAGTAAATACAAGCAATCAATCCTGATAGGGAATCCTTGGTCAAGATTTTCAACTGCCAAAAAAGCTTTAGCTATGTAAATTAGGTATCTTCCCCGCCCCCTTCCTTTTTTTTTTTTTTTGATAACCTGCACCTACTACCCTTAAAAAGCAGCAGGGAATCAGCCCAAAATTATGTGACACTTCAACTCTCTCTTCCTTAAAATGAAAGAAATGTTTTGATAAACAAGAGATCTGGTTTAGCAAGAACTCCAAGGTTTCCCTAATTTAAGAGGAAAACGAATAAATATTTTCCCAAGCTCTTCCTGGATCAAATCTTTAAATGATATGTATACATCAGCAGATAAGTAGCAGAATGTAATGACATTTTTATGGACAACTAGCATGTCTATTTCCTCTATTAGTGTAAACTGAGAGTGGCCCCAACAAGATTTATTAGTCAAATATAACCCCAATCCTATAAACATAGTAACTAGGAAAATCCAAGGTAAATGTTATTTACACTGAGTCATACTGAATTAATTTTAAGAAGGAAGGATAACTCAGGACTTTTGATGGACCTGCTAACTCTCCACAGACAGGGCAATCTCCTGGAGCACAGAGAATGTGCCAGTTTTCCTGGTACCTGGTTCCATACCCCAAGCACATGGTGGGCATCTGGTAATCATCAGATAAATAAAAAGCTCCTTGAGGGCCCTACAAGTGATGTGGAAGTCAAAACTATAACCATTTCAGGATGGGGAGAAGGTAGCAATAGATATTTATAGTAATATATACATGGTTAAATCTAGTGGTGGACATATGGGTATATTCCCTGTAAAACTCTTGTAATCTTGATATAGGCTTGAATATTTTTTAAAAATGTTGGAAAATCTGACCATTTTAAAAGCTAAAATTTAGCAGTACTTTAAAAAAAAAAAAAAAAAAAAGTCAAACAAGATAAGCAGAGAATTTTGTCAAAACCAACAAATCAAAGCCTGAGTTTCTACTTTATGTAAGAACACTACACTATATACATTCTACAAAAGAACTACCTTTTTAAAAAATTCTCCTCTAACCTGAAGGGGCACTAGTGTTCAAACAGGGAGATTCCAGTGGACAAATTCTTTAGATCTATAATACTAATTTATGCATTTTTAGGATGATTTCACTAAAATTCTCTAACAGTATACTAAACTTTGAAAGAAAAGTTAACATATGAAGAATTATAAGCATAGCATTCAATTACACTGTGAATTAGGCAGAGCTTCAAATACTCAAAAAAAAAAAAAAAAAACAACCTTTTTACGCTTTGTTATCTTCAGCTTCTTTCAAATACCCTTATGTCTCAAAGACATGGTGGCACAGTGGTTAAAGCATTCGGCTGCTAACCAAAAGGTCAGTGGTTCAAACCACCACCCACTCTGCAGGAGAAAGAGGCAGCAGTCTTTGATATAGCCTTAGAAACCCTGTGGAGCAGTTCTACCCTGTCCTAGAGGTCACTGTGAGTCAAAATAGACTCAATGGCAGTGGGTTTGGTTTAGGTAGGTCTCACAGAAGATGCTGAAGTATCAACTCAGACTCAATTTCCCAATTTACACAAGTTTAGGTCTTCTTCTATTTTGACTATATTTTCAGAATTCACACTGTAGATGTTTTGATAGACTGATACAATTATTTCCCCAACTTTTATATATTCAGTGTAGAGCAAAAAATATATTTCAGCCGGCTTATCGTTGGATTAACCCATCTAGGTACCAGTCTTGCTTTACTTGTCAAAATTCATCTTTAAAGTTGCCTTTATTTTGTTATATTGAACAATACAAAAGGGCACTCCTTTGTAAAATCGTATGTTTACCTCCCACCATCATTTCAAGTCAAGAGAGTTAACTTTCTACTTCCTCCTCTTGGAGTCTACATATTTCCTGAGTAACGTGCAAATGTTCCTATAATATTGGGATGTTTACGCGTGGCTCAGTGGGATTAGATTTTTCTGATCTCCACTACCAGTGTAAAAAGAAACATTACAATTTGCATGCTTCAAGAAAATTGCACTTTTAAACTTCCAAGTTAGTTAAAATACTCAAAATCTATGTTTTGACACTAGACAAATTTCAAATGAATAAAAAAGAGCCTGTCAAAAAATTTTACTCAGTTAATTCTTTTCTTATAAAAGTACAATTACATGCTTTTGGGATGAAACCGAGTGTTGGGAATATAATTCAGTGCTTTTCTGTCATAGGGCTAGATTACACATGCTACGAACCAAGCCATGATAAGGGTTTCCACAAGGAATCAATATAGCCAAGCGTATGCTAAAACTGCTCTGCCAAGTTCATACCCATCCTACCAAAAACAGTTAATAATAATAATACTATACTAGTCTAGTTTCTACTCTCAAGAAAATAAAGTTTGTCTTTAATAGTTTCATTCAGTGGAAGTGCACATATCAGTTCCTCACCTGTCGTTCACAATAGGCTTTCATTAGTTTACTAAGTGGTGTATGCCTCTTAATCTTAAACTGCACCACAGAACCATCCTGCCCCGCCACCTTCAAATTAATATGATCGTTGTTCTCAGTCTTGACTCCTTCCTGTTGAAAGAAAAATAAAAGTATAATTTGGAAGATGTGAAAAACAAACACCTTTCAAAGCAGCAGCAGCAACCAAAGTTGCTTCAGAAATCAACAGGTTTCTCATTCTGGACAATAAAACAGCATACAGCTGTTTTCAGCCACTGAAATCAATTTGAAAGATGAGAAATCCTGGAGCAACAGCATTAAAATAGCTGTCACAGAAACATAAAAGGAGGCTACATGCAACAATAGAGTCTCAAAGATGGGTCCCACCCAGTGAACTGCAATGTTTTCTCAGTTAAATTTTCAAAAATGGCATTATTTTCTCACTTCCAAAATAGCCTCCCTCCCCCCTCAAAGTTAAAAGCACCTATCCTTGTTCTTTTCAAAATGCATTAAGTACAAATGCTGAATTAGAATGCCAACAAAATCAAATCTAGACCTTGCAATTCAAAACTCTTTACAATTCTCCTATTAAAAGTTATCAAACTCAAGTTAGTAACAGACCTCAATCTATATAGAAAATCTAATTGAGGAATATCCCGATTCTTTCTGGAGCAGAACCACAATTAATGGTCACCTCAATCAGCAACTTCGTTTTTGTTTATTTTTAGTTAACACTTAACACCTCTTATTCTCCCCTCCCCTTTGTTGTCAACGGGTCAGTTTTATTCCAATTCTTCCTTGCAGATTTCGACCCAAACTAATATTCACCAAATCAAGTGTAGGAGGAATTCTGTACCCCCCTCAATCACTTCAGATAGGATCAGGGGTTCCAAAACAAATTGTAAGAAGAAAAACCCTTAGTCTGGAAGATGTGGGAGTCCGAGTCCTCACGGGAAAAGCCTCTGATGTCTCTCAAAAACCGCGTTCAAAAGTTAAGCCCCACAAAGTCTCTCTACTAATACGTCTGCCACAACTTCTCGAAACCACATGGTCTCCGCGGGTTAGGGGCTATTTGGCACCCGAGGGAAAACCGCTGCTCCTGCCCCCTCCGGCCCCTCAGGCCGTCGAAGTGGCAAATACGTCCGGGAATTCCCCAGCCCTCCAGGCTGCTCACGACAGCCCGACGGGCATCTGGCCTCCAGCCCCTTCGGCAGCCCATTGATTCGTCCCGAGCCCTCAAAGGGCTGCTGCGGCCTGGGGCCGCGGTCCCGAGACGCCCGCGGCCCCCTGCCCCTGGGAAAGGAAGCCCCGGGCGGAGGCACTACCCGCCGCGGCTCTGCGCGGGGTTCGCGGAGGATGAGGACACCGCGCGCCCTAACGCCTCTCCCCACGCGCGCCCGCCGACCGGGCCCGAGAAGCCCCCAGCCGCGGACCGGTGGGTCCGCGGCGTCCGCAACCCGCCTGCCCAACCCGCGCCCGGCGCGCACTCCGAGCCGCCCGGGGCGGGGGAGTGCGGCGGGGCCTCCTCCGGCGCGGGAGGGAGGAAGAGAGGGAGGGAGGAAAATGGCGCGGAGCGCCCGGGCCTGAGCCGCGGCCGCCCCGTGGGGGGCCCGGGAAGGCGCGGGGAGTCCACGGCGGGCTTGGGCCGGACCCCGGCCCGCGCTTGACCCCAGCCGCGCGGCGAAGCGAGGAGACGGACGCCGGGCTCACCTTGGGTTTTTCGTCGGCCATGGCGAGCGCCGGAGTCTTCTCAGCTGCCGCTTCACAAAAGAGGTACCAGGTCCGCACCGAACGAGCACACAAGCAGCACCAGGAGCGGCAGAAGAAGGAGGCGGCAATGGTGGAGGAGGGAGAGGGCGCGCGCACGTCGTGCGCTCCCTCCCCCCTTCTTGCGTGCGCGAGCACGAGCGACCGGAGCCTCCCATTGGCTGCTGCCTCGCGGGAGCGCGCAACGCTTACATAACCACCCCTGCCCCCCGCCCCGCTCCGCCACGGCCTGGGCCCGGCGCCCGCCTGGCCGGCGGGAAGAGGCACGGACACGCGCACCCGGCCCGCCGCGGGGACGCGCCTGGCTCTGGGCGGGGCTGTATTGTCCTCCTTCTGTGGTGAAACATAATCAAAATGGCTTCCAGCTGGTCATCAGTGGGGACGAGGAGGCTTGAGGCCTTAGACATGAGACAGACCCGGGAAAGTAGATTGATCAGAAGGGAAAGGGGGAGTCTAAATACAGGCCCCAGCATGAGATTCTGGAAAAAACTCTCTTGTTAGCCTCCCCTGGCATGGACCCAATACAGCCCTCCCCACTGTCAGGAATAGCACACTTCCTCAGTCAGCCTCATCCTTTCAAGTTTAAGGCTTCAGCCTCCACAGGCTTCTCATCAGCCTCTTGTCTCAAGTGCAATGACTTCGTTTCTCCTGTTGGTAACCCTGTACTTTGACTAGCTGAGGAAATATGTTCATTGAACAAGCTCTTTATAGATGGCCTGGCTTCCAACTGCCAAGAAGAAACAGAATCCATCAAAGAAAAAGTCACTTAGCTATCCAATACCAAGCTTCCAGATCATTCACTCAATCCTGTTCTCCTTCCTACCTGTTAAACCATAGAGGTAGGTGCCCCCTAAGAACAATCCCAACATCTGCATACTAGATTCCATCACCTCATCCGTTCAGACACCTGTATTATCTCCTTCGCTTTGGTCCTGTATTTTCTTCCACTCCTGTTAGAACAGAATGAAGACTCTCCCTCAATTATATATCCTTCTTAAGTTACCACTATTATCTCTCTCCATACGTGGCCAAACATCTTGAAGAAAATGTCCATGCCAGCTGTCTGCACTCTCTCACCTCCCACTCATTCCTCAATCCACTGCATAGCTGGTGCTGTCCCCTTAGTTCACTAACATTGCTCTCCACAAGGTCACCAGAGCCTCCTGTGCTGAATCCTGCGTGCTTCCCAGTTTGTCCCTCCTTCTCTTGAAGTGGCTCAACTTAACTTCTGTGACCTGTTGTTGTTATTATGTGCCATCGAGTCGGCCCTGAAATCCTTGGGTTTCCGAGGCGGTATCACTACAGAAGTAGGATTGCCTGACCTTCCTTCCGAGGAGTGGCTGGTGGGTTTGAACTGCCAGCCCTCTGGTTAGCAGTGAAATGCCTTAGGCACTATGCCACCAGAGGTTTTCCTCTCACCTCTTGGGCCTGTCTTCATCTCCTTTGCATTTTTTTTCTCCCTCACCCAGTCCCTTAAATGTACCTTGGGGTTTTGTTCTAGACTCTACTCCCTCTATTTCCTCCCCTAGGATGATTTCACCTTGTTCTGTTACCATTTGCCAGTGATTCGCAAATCTCTATCTCTGGTCCATGTCTTTCTTCTGAACTTCCAACCTGTGTATACAACACTGACTTCTTAACACCGCCACTTGGATGTTGCCCAGGCACCTCAAGCTCAGCAGATCCCAACTGAAACTCTTCACTTTACCTTCCCTGATGTCCCTCTCTTCACATTTTCCCGTTTCACTGAATAGCCCACCATCACCTCACCCGCCAAGTCAGAAAGCTGGGCCTCCTCCTTGACTCCCCTCTCTCCCTCTAATCAATCTCCAAGTCTTGTTAATTGCACTGCAGTGCAATGAATTATTTAATATGGCCCTTCTAGCCATAGTCCTCCATTTTGTTATGTAAATCCTAGCTTTTATGCCTGTGGTTATGATCCCATTTTGGAGTGACAGCTCTGTGCTTTGTTATGTTAATGAGGCAGGATTAGGATGGGATGTTTCTTTCTTTTCTTTTTTTTTTTAAATTTTATTGTGATTTGGGTGAAATTTTACAGAGCAAATTCATCTTCCATACAGTTCACATAGACTCTGCCTCAAGATAGGAGCTCTGGTAGCGTAGTGCCTAAGGCACTTGACTGCTAACCAGAAGGCTGGAGGTTCAAACCCACCAGCTACTCCTCGGAAGGAAGCAGGGGCAATCTACTTCCGTAGTGATACTGCCTTGGAAACCCAAGGAAGGGTCGCTATGAGTCGGGTCCCACTCGACGGCACGTAACAACAACAACAACTACCTCATTACATTGACTGTAATCTCCCACAATGCAACAGCTCTCCTCCCACTTCCTCCCCATAGTTACCTCTTCCCTGTGTCCTTCCCTCCCATACACTCCTGCCCCACAAGCTGTCTTCCTGTGCATACACATCCCTTCTATTCTCCCATGATTGATCTCTCCAAGGAGCATATCTGCCTAATGTAAGTGTTCACCTCATAGGCCTGTCTTTTGTTTGGCTGGAAGCAACAGGAGTGGGTTCAATTCCAAACCTGAAGGGCAGCTGGGGGCCATAGTCTCAGGGGTCCCACCAGGCTCTATCAAACCAGCAAACATGGTCTTATTTATTTATTTTTTTTAATGATTTTGTGTTCTCCCACTCTATTCCAGGATCTCCTACATAGATCCAGGATGGAATGTATATTGAGTCACCACCTACTAGAGAGTATAACTAAAGTTACTACCCTTACCACACTTAAGTGACCACCCTTACTGACGTCACACCCTTGCTTGAGTCACACAAGACTTTTTTTTAATTTTTTTAGATTTTTTTTTTTAATCTTACAAGAGATAAAAGGAGAGAGAAGCTAGCAGAGAATGGGGGCACAGAATCTCATTACCACCAAGAAAAAAGAACTAGGAGTGGGGTGTGTCCTTTAGACCTGGGATCCCTGCACTGAGAACCTCCTAGATCCAGGAGACAGAGGGAGTTATAACACTGGAGATAAAAAGCAGCAGCAGAGAAATGGCAACAGAATAACCAAGAGACTGGCAGGAGACTAGCAGGATGTGGCCAGGTGGACTTTCTGGCCCATGGAGTGAGAAGCAGAGCACCTTCAGGCAGAAGGCTTGCTGGCAGAGTGGGGTGCCTCCAGGCGTTTGGCAGAGCTAGGTTTGCCAACCGACTGGAGCTAAAGCTGAGCACCTTAGGGCCAAGGCTTACTTTACTGGCAGAGTGGGGAACCTCTGGGCACTTGTCAGCAAAGTTGAAAGAGCTTTATAACACTTGCCCAAGCAGGGCAGACGTCAGGACCTAGGGGCTGCAGGCTGAGGCACAGAGAGAGGCTTACCAGCAGGCATGTCTAAGAAGAGGCTGTCTAGACTGAAGAACCGTATCTTGAGTAATTTCTGATTCTCAGTTATAACCTGTTACTTCCCTAATAAACCCCATAATCATTGAGTATTGTCTGTGAGTTCCATGTGGTCATTGCAATGAATTATTGAGCCCAGCAGGGAAGTAGTCCAAGTGATAAGTGAACCATGGGGACCTTAGCCTACATGACCCTAAGACCAGAAGAACTAGATAGCACTCAGCTATCACTGTCAACCACTTGGAAAGGGATCAAAATTGAAGATCCTCAATAGAGTGGGAGAAAAATGTGGAAGAAAATTCAAAATCATAAAAAAAAAAAAAACCTTACTGTTCTGATAGAGACTGGTGAAAGCCCTAAGACTATGGCCTCTAGTCACACTGTGGGCCTGTAATGAACTCAGTCTTGTGGTTTAACTTCCGTCTAAACAATAGACAGGCCTATGAGGTGAACAATTAAACCAGGTAGGTACACTTCTTAGGACAATCAACATGAAAGATCGGACGGGCAGTATTTGCATAGGGAGACAGCTTGGAGGGCAGGAATGCATAGAAAAGAAGGACACAGGGAAAAGATAACCACAGGGAGGAAGTGGGAAGAGAGCTTTTACATTGTGGGGATTGCAATCAATGTCACAAAACAAAATGTGTACAAACTGTTGAATGGGAAATGAATTTGCTCTGTAAATTTTCACCCAAATCACAATAAAAAAAGACAAAAGAAGCAAGGATGATGAGACTTCATCTCATGTACTTTGAACATGTTATCAGGAGGTACTAGTCCCTGGAAAGGGACCATCATGCCTGGTAGAGGGTCAGCCCACAGTTAAACATTCAGTCTCTACTAAGGCCCAGTTATAAGCCAAAAGCTGTTTCTCAAAAAGAGAGTAGTTATCTGTAGAGGATGACGGGACTTTGCACAAAGATCCTAAGGGCTTGCACTGTGACTCACCAATAAAAGGCTGTCAAAGACTCCCAACAGTACCTCTGTCTGCCACTGCCACTTCGAGCACCATTGGATCAGCTGGATCATGTGGCTCAAGAGACAGAGTTGCTTGCAGAGCCTTCTCTTGTTCTGGGCCCCACTCAACTAGCAGCTTTTTGAGTCATTTAATAGGTCAGAGTAACACACCCAAGTGAGGGATATGTTGCCTCCAAAATCCAAAGGGACCCCCCCCCCAGGCATTCTGCTTACTTTTAATTTTAGGGGAGGCCAGATATAGCAACTTATCCTTCACTTTAGAAGGCTTATCTTGACACGCTCCACACCACTTGAGTCCTAGAAATTTCACTGAGGTGAAAGGTGCCAGAATTTTTTCAGGTTAATTCCCTACCCTCTAACATTAAATGTCTTACCAGTGAGTCTAGAGTCATTGACATATCTTCCTTACTAGATCCAATCAACATAAGGTCATCAAGGTACTAGATCAGTTTGATGTCTTGTGGAAGGGAAAGGTGGTCAAGGTTCCTGTGGCCTAAGTTATGACATAAACCCACTGCCATAGAGTTAAATCTGACTCACAGTGACCCTTATTGGATTTCCAAGGTTGAATATCTTTATGGAAGTAAATTGTTTCATCTTCTTCCCGTGGTGCAGCTGGTGGTGGTTTTGAACCACTGAGCTTCTGGTTAGCAGCCAAATGCCTTCCCCATTATGCCACCAGAGCTCCTTAAGTTATGACATAAGGTTGGAGAACTGATATATCT